AAACCTTTGACAAACATTTTGAATGAATAACATCACCACCAGTCAACCTTTTTGCAATACTCAAGACATTTTCTATGGTTTTTCCAAAGTTTTTCTGGCTCATGCTGCTTGAATCTATACAAATAGGAGACACCATCTCTTCTCCAAAAAAGAAAATAGTGAGGTCTAACAATAATCCACTCCAAAATGTTTCCACCAAATATTAACAAATGAGGATGCAAGAACTTCAAAGTTCTACCTATTAGTGTAGAAAGCTGTTAAACACTACATGCAGGTGGTTTCTTTAGCTCTAAAGCTTATATTCAGGGACAAGAAATAAAGCTGATGCATCACTGGTTAGTATAACCATAAATGGACAAAAGAGAGATCAACCCTAACTAAACTTTCTGTTGGAATTCAGCATAGCTTATGTTACTTCTTGGATTAGTAAAATAGATTCAAATTTCTTTAAGCAAAACAATGTAAAAATGCCTTTTAAATGATTATGAAAAACAACAAACTTACATCACTGTGACATCCCTCAGTGAAACAAACCTAAAACTATTCTGTTAAGTAAGCACTGAGTCGCAGGCATTGTCCTCAGTGCAGGGTGGTGATAAAAAAACATATGCTATTTCCTGCTTTTAAAAGGATGAGAAGATGAGCCTTTTAGGTCAAACAATTAGGAATCAATACAAGAAAGAATTTAAAAACAACAAAAAAAAGCAGGGTGTGTGGTCTAATAGTTTATGAAGCCCCAAGGACCTGCCACAATCATTTTCTCAAAAAAGTGGACTTATGCTCTCCTTCTGCATAAAGCTGCTAGCTTACAAAGCAAGAGAATACATTTAATGAAATAAATGAAGGGACCCTGATCATGAGCCAAGACTGCCAGAGCAATTCTTCATAAGAAATAGTGACTAAACTACCCAATCAGATCGTCTTTGTGCTTGAGGAGTTTCAATCAGCAATGTGTGAAAAAAGACTAAAGGGGAATCACTAGAGCTTGCTGTTGAAGCAACAATGACAACAAGCCACTATTCTACTAGTGTCCATTTCCATTCTGTGAAGCACAAGCACAGAGGAACTGTTTGGATGCAGAGTCAGTTTCCTGTGCTTCTTCAATTACCATTTATCTAACAGTAAGTCCCTATTACTTAAGTTCCTACTACAATCCATGCCATCTGTACATGACAGTGTTAATATATTTTTTATAAGGGACCAAGAAGGGGTGAATACCCAAATATGGCACTATATCTGGAATACATAAAATATGTGGAAAGGGCGAGAGAAACAGCACTGAGGCAGGTACATAGCTACAGCTCAGATTCTTCTGTTACATTGTATATGTATTTGAAACAGATGAAAAGATACTTTTAAGTGTTTACTTTTGATTTGAGGGACAGGTACTGAAAACAAAACATAAAAGAAAGAAGTGTTCTAAAAGCAGACATCCATCTCATTTGAAAAAGAAATGCAAATTAAGTGGAGATAATATGGCAAAGTGACATTCATAGCCATCTGAATCAAAAAGAACCTGTTCTTAAGGAAGAACTGCCCCAGAAAGATTTAAAAAAATACTTTCCCTATATAATAGTGGATGAGAAGGCAGCATCTAAAGATGGTATTTGAATATTTATTGAAATTATAGATAAATTAATATTATTTCCCTATCTATCTTCTCAATGTTATCATTTCTGCCCCTTTAAAATCACTTTCTTATCTAACTTGAACTTTCCTGAGTGTGTGTTTCTATACCATGCTCTTGAATTCATTTTTTTTATATTTTTTAATCAACCTCTCCCCTCCCTAAATAGACTATCATATAAAAGCATTACAAAATAAGCATTATATTTAGTTGGATTTTTCTTATTAATATATGAGTTATACCATAGGCAAAGTGATTTGGAAGTCTGAGAATAAGTTATTTCCTATACTCCCCTCTCCAAATCATATTAAAACAAGTCAAAGAGAGGAGAAACAGGGAAAGAACTTATAGGAAAATAAGTTATGAGTATCTGGAACTAAACAAAAAAAGTAGAATAGGTTACTATGTTAGAGGTGAAAATTCTTAAAGGAAAGTCAAAAGAACAGAAAAGGTTTTGAGCCTCTGTCAGCATTACTGGGATCACAAGCATTCTTTCTTGCTGACGGGAACTCAAAAGCCATCCAAAGTGTGTCTACTTTAGAGAAAATAATTTCAGCAGCTCAACTATAACGAGATTAAAGGGTACAGGAATGCAGGGTGTGAGGGAGTGTAAGTTTGGAAGAGAGTCGGTTTACTAAATAATGGGATACTAAATGGTCAGTGGCTACTTCTATGCTTTACAATATTAAAATATTTTGTTAAATATATGTCCAATTATAAAAGAAAATATGGCTGGCTTATTGACTCTGTTATGAATATCTGGTTCATGCTAAGCAAAAACTTGAGGTTTCAGAATCTCTGTATTTCTGAATTTCCAATGCAAGATCATTTACAATAATTTCTGTTAATGAAATTAAGATCATAAGTGGGAGAAAAAAAATCTACACCCTTCTTCACAAGAAATGATCCATGTGCCTTTTTGATGAAATTGTTAGGAGAATATTTCATGTTGAAAGATGGAAGAGAAGAAGCATGAGATAATTCATTACTTCTTTTATTTTCACTTTAGCAAGAACAAAAGGAATAATCCAAGTATTTAAGAACCAAATTCCCATCCCATAACATAGTTTATAGTCATTAAGATAAAATTAATTTCCTTTTTCTTACTATTAAAACAAAACAGAAGGAGAAAAATGAAACAGAATGTTGTCTAACTACTATTACCTAATTAAGCTGAGGTTTATCCTGACTCTTCCTTCATATAAAATGCCAAAATGTGATAAATCAGTAATTAGAAAATGATAGATCCACACAGAATGAGAGTGAGAATCCTAACGGTCTTTCTGAACATTAAAGGGTTGGTGGAGGGGAGGGTTTCAATGATTTTCCAATAGTACTTTTACAGTAAACCAATGAGAAATAGCTTTTTATAAATGCAAAAAATGCAATGCATACATTTTACAAAAGAACACCATTCATCTTCTTTTATAAAAATGTAGTCCCTTTAAAGCTAGGGTTATTCTCTCTATAAAAATTCTTATTCTCTTCCCTTAGAAAAGCACTACTAACCATGGCTTCAAGCCATGGCTTGATAATTGCTACTTCTAATATACATTATGTTATTTTGATCAAATAATAATCATCCTGACCCTAAGAAAAACTAAATAAATCTCTGTAGTAACTTAACATATATTTCAACACAATCATTTTAAGCCTCAATCATTTAAGTCTCATATTTCAACACAATCATTTTAAGTCTCTTCTTCATAGTGCTGGATCCCATTCTTAAAAGTTTACTCCCTGCCCCCCTCTCACTCCCCCCCCCACTACTTTTAACATAATTAAGCCAACAGTAAAGCAAATACTTTGTTTTCAACAGCCAATACAGTTGGAGCCAGGCCAGAATCTCCATTCTCAGCTGCCCCCATGCTGCTGAAAAGAAATTCTGAAGTTGATACAATAAAGAAATATACCAATTATGTCTAAGAGAGTAAAGTGACCACAGGGAATTTTGTGAAAAGGCAGAGATCTTGAGATGCCATGGCTAAAGTATTCCAAATTTCTTAGCATATTTGATTAATACCTGAAAATACATAGAATGTTTGATCTCCCTAGCCTTCAAGTGTCAAAGTTCTCTGGTCCTGAAAATCTGAGCTTCTAGATATTTATACCTTAAGAAAATAACTAACTGAGAATTTCAGTGACAGTGAACAATAACAATAATCACAGAATGAATTATTTATTCTACTGTTAGTATATACAGTTGTGCCTCAGTATACATGGAGGATTGATTCCAGGCCCGCCCTGTATACCCAAATCCCTGCATATTCAAGTCTTGTAGGAGGCCCTGTGGAATGCTCCTATATGAAAAGTCAGCCCTTCATATGCATGGGTTTTTACATCCTAGGAATATTTTATTTTCAATCCTCGTTTAGTTGAGAAAAATCTGCATGTAAATGTGTTCAAACACTCATTGTTTAAGTGTCAACTGTACATATTTCTAACCACACCCCCCTATATTCTTAAGAAAAAAAGAAAAAATAAGCCAGGCATGGAGGTGCACACCTGTAGTCCCAGCAACTCGGGGTTGCTTGAGACTAGGAGTCTGAGTTCAGTCTGCACAACATAGTGAGACTCCCGTCTCTTAAAATTAAAAAAAGGAAGAAAAAAAGGCTTGGGCTACAAACCACTGAGAAATTCTAACTCATTCATGTTCTCCTGGGTTAACATACAGTGCTCTGACAAAGATATTCACATGGCAACTCTAGGAAGAATATACAGCATTTTCATTTTATAAGAAAAGTAGATGAAATGTAAACAGCTATGCATTTTTTCCATTTAGTCTAACATTCATAACATTCAAAAGTGCTGGTATAAACATTTACTTTTGCATAAGCTAGCTGATAATTAACACATTCTTCACCAACCAAATGTTTGATCAAGAAGAGAGATAAGAAAACCAGAACATCTTAGGAACCTAGATCCAAACATTCCACAATTAATATATTAACCTGCCCATGACTCATCTCAAACCTACATTTCAGAAGTCTCTTTCTCAATAACTAAATGGGAATTGGCTTAAAAAGCCTAAATAGGAAAAGCCTAAATAAAATATTTTATCTTTTTACTTTTCCTTTGGTTATAAACAAACAGTATGGCTATCAGGATGACAAAGAATAAAAATTATTAAGTAGTTTTTATTTTTTTAATATAAACTCATAGACTGACACCAATTTCATGTTCACATTTATAATGCTGAAAAACTCAAAGTTAAGCATGTATTACAGCACTTACACTGTCCCACTCACATAATTTACTTTATATATTGCTTCTTAGCTCTCACATACTTGTATCTTCCAAAATATTTGCCCCAAAATCTTACACACAGCAGGCATTCAAAAATGTTAGCTTTATTCTTTCAAGATGAACTTACCCTTCGAAATGACACAACATAAAATGTGTCTCCCCTTCTGCGGATGGCTTCAAAAAAGTCTTGATAACTTCTGGGTGAAGCATAATATACTTGTAGCTCACTCCCTGAGTTCCTACTAAAGTAAGAAAAATGTAAAGTATTACTGAAGTAAAAAGTTCCATGTTCTCCCAAAATACTTCCCATTCTAAGGCTGTCTAAATTATAAGAATCTCTCTCAACCAAAATATTAGTAGCACTTTGGCAGTAATTTTTATAATATTTTGAAAAGCCCAAGATCAGGATATTTATAAGATCCAATTCACTAAAGCTAATATTCTTGTTTCGAAATCAAGGCTCTAAAATGTACTAGATAATAAAAACTATCAGAAAACAGATTTCTACATAAGTATACATGGTTTTACAATTTCTGGTAATAAAAATTAAGTCTGAGGAAAAGTCATTTTTCACCACTCTGTCAAATATGTGAAGGTGTGCATGACTATGAGGCTGTGCACAAGGTAGAAAGAGATTAGGATTTGGAAACAAACAGACCTGGCTTTGAATTCCTGCTCCACTCCTTTAGAATACTCCTAAAAAAAAGCTTTTGTATTCATTATGTTATTAACTGAGACTGCCTATTAAATGACAATAAAGCAGCATATCAGCAGTCATGAATGTTTAAAATCCTGAGATTGTATTATCCGGTTGAAATGGATAACTAAGATATATTTAAATAGTAACTAATAATTCTGTGTTAATCAGAATTCTTGGGTATTCTTGGGGAAATCAACCTTTCTGAGCAATCTGTTTCCTCATCGATAAAATAAGGATAACCATGTAAACTTTGCAGGATTGTTATTGGGGATGATATATATGTAAAGTGCTAAGTACGGGTCCCGTTCCATGAATCACTCAACAGTTGCTAGCTATTGCTATTAAAAGCATCATGTAAATACTTTGATAAAATTAAAATCTAAAATTATAATACTTCGAACCACATTGTGCCCCCAAAGTTACACTCAAATGATACTAATATAGTTCTTAATGTTTTCAGGGTTTTTTAGTGTTTAGGGCCAATGTCCAAAATAGTCAAAGGGATACTACAATGCTTCGTTTTTTCTCCAAAGAAAAACTTAAATGTATTAATCATACATCATTAACTTAAGAGGAGAAAAAGATTGACCTAAATGGAAATGATGAATGAGTCATGAGAAGGTCCTTCGACATAATCACATTTGCTCACTAGGCCATTTCTGATTATTTGAATGTACAGTCAGTTTTTCTTATTTGTGATAGTTATGTTCTAATAAGTCACTGTGAACACTGAATTAGTGAATCCTGAACTATTCTCCTAGGGGAAATACAGAGTTAGGTTCCTATGAGCCTCTGGTTACAATATTTTTGTCAACCAATCAATATGTAACCTTATTTTATGTGTTTCTGTGTAAAGATACGTTCTTTAACATATATCTTTCATTCATTAACTTGAACTCACAACCAACAGCACTATAACTCATGCCCTGAACAAAATTTATCTAACACATGTGTTTTCTCTATAAGGCACATCACAGCCTGCTTGGGCTTGGGAACACTAGACAGCATTTCAGCAATATGCCTGGGAGCCATTTTAAACGGCAAAATCAGCAATAAAAAACACAAAATTATGAAAAATGTGGCACTAAATGGGCCATTAAAAAAACTTTATTTATGCTATGAGAACTGAAAGAAGAAAGCAGAATGTTGCTTTGGTCAACCTCACCTGGGAACATCTATGCATATTTGCAAATGATAAAAAAAGCACTGCAAGTATTAATTTTGGGGATATAGATAAATTTTAGCAGATTTTAGTAGGTGAATTTGCAAATGCAGAATCTATGAATAATGAAGATTGATTGTAATTAATTAAAATTTGTTTTTGGTTTTTTTTTGAGACAGAGTCTCACTTTGTTGTCCAGGCTAAAGTGAGTGCCGTGACATCAGCCTAGCTCACAGCAACCTCAGATGCCTGGGCTCAAGCAATCCTCCTGCCTCAGCCTCCCAAGTAGCTGGGACTATAGGCATCTGCCACCATGCCCGGCTAATTTTTTGTATATGTATTTTTAGTTGGTCAATTAATTAAAAGTATTTTTATCTAATGAAGAAATATTATGCCATCATAATCATGCATCAAACAACATATTTTTAAATAAATGTATAGTAATTAAATGATAAATTCTGATTAACACAGAATTATTAGTTACTATTTAAATATATCTTAGTTATCCATTTCAACCAGATAATACAATCTCAGGATTTTAAATATTCATGACTGCTGATATGCTGCTTTATTGTCATTTAATAGGCAGTCTCAGTTAATAACATAATGAATAAAAAAGCTTTCAACTTACATTTTTACTATATATATTTTTTTCTCAGAGCTTAGAACACTACCTGGCATATAACAGGTTCCTAGTAAATGTTAAATTAACATCAAGTAAATAATGAACTGTAAGTCTGTTGCAGAGCTACAGGTAGAAGCTGAGACTCTCAACTTTCACTTCAGCAATAATGTCAATATCATCACATCATCACCATTTACCACGTTTGGGAGGCACTTAATATGTGCCAAGTACCATGCTAAGCGCTCTAAATATATTATCTAACTTAACCATTAGATCAACTCTGTGTGGCCAGAATTTTGTAGATGAGGAAACTTCAATTACATTAACCTGTTTGAGCTCCCAGAGCAACTAAGAGGCAGTTATGATTTGAACGCTGCCCAACAGGCAGATAAAGCTACCATCTTAACCATGATACTGTGTTGCCTCCGACATTATCTTTCCTTTTAGTTAAGTATGTCTTGGTGAAGACATTTAAACCTCTAGATACAGCACTCCCTTTGGAATCTTTCAATATCTCAATAAATATTGTGTAGTAAAAAGTGCACTGTAAGTCAAACAGCTAAGGTCTAAATTCTGATTCTAAGGTCTAAACTCTGAAAATTATGAAAAAAATAAATGACTTGCCCAGATTTTCTATATAAAAAATATACTTCAACTTATTATATGGATTTAAAGAAAAATGCACGTAACATACTCAGCAGGACACCTGGCACAGAGCATTCAAAAAATAACATTCTCTTCCCCTAGGCTCATGAAACAGATGCAAATCAAGAACAGGAGAGCTATGTATATTCAAGATTTTCATCAAAATTATGACTGGGAGAGATGATCTTTTGAAATTATCTGGCTTTAGTGCGACTGTTCAGAAGTAATATATGTTATATACATAGTAGGACATGACTAATATAAAAGTCATAGATAAGAACAAATTTAAGGTGAAAAGGAAGTGTGAATTTCAACTTTACTAAAATGCTAGCTGTTTTAAATTCCCTGGCCAAGTGCTTCCACACTTTCTTACCTGATACTAGTGGTTTCTGTGTACTGAACCGCCATCAGCTGAGAATTTGAGCCCTGTTCCAGAGCACCCTGGAGAAAAAAAAGTAGAGAAAAAAAGTTTAATGTCATATAATGAAATTACATGAAGGTCTTCCCATATTGACTCATTCTACCTTTACATTTGCTAAACTTTCATTAAAGTATTCATATTCTGACATATTAAGTCTAAATAATTAAACACTAACAGAAATTAAATCTCTTTAGGTCACATTCTTGGATTAAAGATGTGTCTTGTGGAGATTAAGACATTTAAGGCACTTCTCATAAAGTTTAAAGAAAGAGCCCAAAAGCTTAGTCCAAACACCATAAGTTTTATGACTAAGCTGTACACTGTAGTACTAAACATTTAACAACTTATGCCTGACATTATTTTAATAATTAGATCGTCAATGACAAGTTCCTAAGACCTATGAAAAGTTCATAATGAAACAAGGTCCTATTGTTTACTTAGTTAAACACAAAGATCTTAGGCCTAAATACACCTATGGAATATGCCACCATTAAAGAGATATCACTGATGACTCTTCTGGCAAGAGAACAGTTCAGTATGGAACCATTAGCGGCCCACATATGCTACACTGGAAAGCTGTCTCACATAACATCTGCTTTGTGCTATGCTTTTTTTTTTTTTTTTTTTTTTGAGACAGAGTCTTGCTTTGTTGCCCAGGCTAGAGTGAGTGCCGTGGCTTCAGCCTAGCTCACAGCAACCTCAATCTCCTGGGCTCAGGCGATCCTCCTGCCTCAGCCTCCCAAGTAGCTGGGACTACAGGCATGTGCCACCATGCCCGGCTAATTTTTCTATATATATTAGTTGACCAATTAGTTTCTTTCTATTTATAGTAGAGATGGGGTCTCGCTCTTGCTCAGGCTGGTTTCGAACTCCTGACCTCGAGCAATCCGCCCGTCTCGGCCTCCCAGAGTGCTAGGATTACAGGCGTGAGCCACAGCGCCCGGCCTGCGCTATGCTTTTTTATATTCCCTGGCAGTTTTGTAAGCTGATCTTCAGAAGAGTAAAAGAGTTCAAGGTCATATTATCAACTTCTATTATGTTAGGAAGTAACCTCACCCTGTCAAGCAGTGGCTTAAATAATTGTTTAATCATTTGTTCAATGGTGTCCATATACCCATCTTTCAGCAATCAAAGCACCTACATGCACCACAGCAACAAAACTAAACATTTGACTTCTCCCTTTAAGAAGCTTCCAGATATATGAAAACAATACAATGTGATAAATACTAATACAGAAACATATATGAAAGGTTAAGGGAGAAAAGAAGAGGAAATAATTTTGTTTCATGGATAGAACCAATATGCAGGGATCAACATGGGGCATCCAACTTCTGGCTCTATAATAAGTCAAGGATTTTACTTTATAAAAACCTAATGTATGTCTTATATGTAGTAGGTGTTCAATAAATGCTTGTTAAACAAAAATGAAAAAAGTACCAATAAAATGAAAACAAAAAAGAGAAACAAGTATACTTAATAAGATACTATATTTATTGACATGGTTATCAAGCAGTAAATAAAACCAAAATTAAATTATAGCTAGTTGACAAATATAAGGTTTAAATAGCTATGAATTTTAAATGATTTCTGCTACTCTGACACATATGAAATAAAGAAGTCTGAAAGAAGTCAGACTTCTTTCCCCAGTCTCAGAAGTGGACGGGTAGGTGTTAGGGAAAACTGAGTTACAGAGACCTCAGGCAAGCAAAAAATGGATATTTCATTTATGTATCTAAGGTTTGCACCAGTTATAATAACAAAGGAACCTCTGGCTGGGTGCAGTGGCTTACATCTGTAATCCCAGCACTTTGGGAAGCCAAGGCAGGAGGATCACTTGAGGCCAGGAGTTCAGAACCAGCCTGGGCAACATAGCAAGCCCTCATCTCTACAAAAAAATAAAAATATTAGCTGGGCATGGTGGCACATGCCTGTAGTCTTAGCTACTTGGGAGGCTAAGGCAGGATGACCACTCATGCCCTTGAGTTTGAGGTTACAGTGAGCTATGATCATGCCACTGTACACCACCTGGGTGACAGAGTGAGAGCTCATCTCTTAAAAAAGAAAAAGAAAAAACAAACAAAAAAAGGAACCTCACTGAAAAATTAGCCATAACCTTTTACATTTTTAGCTATTTTGGTTTAGCATGTGAGACACTTAAATCAAAATGACAGGAAATTAAAAATCTCCAATTATGTTGAGAATTATCTATTTTTCCCTTGAGTTCTGTCACTTTTCCCTGTGTGTATTTTGAAGTTTTGTTATTAGGACCCTATCATTTAGAATTGTTGTCTTCTTGATGAAATGCTCCTTTTGTCATTATGAAATTTCCTTCCTTAGGATGGGTTCAAACAAACCCAGACTGCAAAGATTAAAATAAATACCCAACTCTTAGGCTGGGTGTCATAGCTCATGCCTGTAATCCTCGCACTCTGGGAGGCAGAAGTGGGAGGATCGCTTAAGCTCAGGAGTTAGACCAGCCTGAGCAAGAGCAAGACCCTGTCTCTACTAAAAATGGAAAAAAATTAGCTGGGCAACTAAAAACGGAGTGTAGTGGCACATGCCTGCAGTCCCAGCAACTAGAGAGGCTGAGGCAAGAGGATCACTTGAGCCCAGGAGTTTGAGGTGGCCATGAGCTAGGCTAATGCCATGGCACTCTAGCCTGGGCAACAGAGTAAGACTCTGTCTCAAAAAATAAAATAAAATAAAAACCGAACTCTTCAATGCCCAGATATTGATGAGCATCCACGAGCATCAAGAACACCCAGGAAAACATGACCTCACCAAATGGACCAAGGAATCAGTGATCAATCCTGGAGTGATGGAGACACACAACCTTTCAGACAAAAAATTTAAAATAACTGTCCTGAGGAAGTTCAATGAACTTCAAGACATCACAGAAGGAATTCAGAAGCCTATCACAGAAATCTAACAAAGAGATTGGAATAATTTTTTAAAAATCAAGCAAAAATTCTGGAGCTTAAGAATTCAACTGACAAACTGAAAAATGCACCAGTCTCCCAACAGCAGAATTGATCAAACAGAAGAAAGAATTAGTGAGCCTGAAGATGGACTATTTGAAAATACACAGAAGAGGAAAAAGAATAAAAAAGAATGAAGCATGCCTATAGGATCTAGAAAATAGACTCAAAGGGGCAAATCTAAGAGTTATTAGCTTTAAAGAGGAGGTAGAGAGAGAGAGATCAGGGTGGAAGGTTTATTCAAAAAACTGAAATGTCCTTCTTTATCTCTTGTAATATCCTTTGTTTGGAAGTCTGCTTTATCTGATATTTTTTCACCCTTTTATTTTCCATTTGTCTGTGTCTTTATATTTAAAATGTTATTTCTTATAAACAACATATGGTTAGAATTTGCCTTTAAAAATATCTAGTCTGACAATCTCTACCTTTTAATTGATGCTTTTAGTCCACTGAATTTAATTACTAATATGGTTGGATTTTAGTCTACCATCTTGATGTATTTTTTATTTATCATATTTGTTCCTTATTTCTCTTTTCCTGACTTTTCATTGAACTGCATACTTTTTAGTATTTGATTTTTATTTCTTATATCATCTTTTTAATAATAGTTGTACTTCTTTATATTTGTTTTTAGCAGTTGCTCTAGAGATTATACTTTGATCTTTAAGTTATCACAGTCTACCTTGGAATGTTATTTGAACAATATATGAACTTTATTAAGAATATAATTCCATTTACTTGCCCCATCCCTTTGTGTCCTTATTATCTTATATTTTACTTCTATAGAAGCTATAAATCCCACAACAAATTGTTATTATTATTACTCTAAAAAGACAATAGTCCTTTTAAAGACATTTAAATATACATACATAATATAAAGATAGTATTTTTTTTTAAAGGATTACTCTTTTTACCTAGATATTTGCCCATTCTGATGCTCTTCCTTCCAGCTAGTCTGGGGTCTTAGTATCATTTACCTCAGTCTATAAAACATTTTTAATATTGCTTATACTACAGGTCTTCTAGAGACAAATTCTCTGTTTTTGTCTGGCTGAAAATATCTTTATTTTACCTTCATTTTTAAAGACATTTTCACTAATTTGTCCCTTTACCTTTTACTCACAGTCTAGGAAGACAGAATAATTATGAAATAGGATGGGTCAAATCAAAGATATAATACTTAAATCAACAGATATTCAAAGAAATGTCAGTTCACCAAAATTACTGAATACCTTATAGGACTTTTAGGCACGTTTAGCACCTGAAAGAAGTAACTAGAAGGAAAAGAAGGTTGAAATGAGAAAAAAAGAAAAAGCAGTGCAGTTATAGGCTCTCTACACTAAGAAAGAGAATTGAAGAATTCTTATATGCTTTGAGTATTGACAACAGCATTAGCAAAATAATCCTTTTCCTTCCTCTGACTAACCAAGAACTTCTTTTACCATTGACAAATACAGATTCATCCCCATCATTCCTTTTTCTATTATAGCTAAGATTTCCACATTTCTGATCATTATTTAAGCTCCTTACAGAAAGATATGTATCCAAAATAGCTTGGAAAGAAATAAGACTTTAAAGTATTATACAAATCTCCTCCAACTCAACAGACTGTGAAATTAAAATAAAATTATTTTCCTTGCATTAGATTTCTTTTAAGATTAAAGAACACTAAGCACCCCTTCCATAGTAAACATTCTATTCATTTATCCAATGAACAGGAAAGAATAACATGAAAAATTATATCTAAAGATAAGGTAAAAAAATACATTTAGGCCAAGAATTTTAATCTTATTTTTCATACAGCCCATTATACCAGCTGTGTGGCAATGATCTATTGCTGTCTCCTGTGCTAGCCACTATGGAAGCCTGAAGCCTATATTACTCAAATTATTTTGCCACCAGGGTTCTGGATATATTTAGGCTGTACAAATAAGATTTACTTGCTCCATATTTGGAAAGTGAAAGAGAGACAGGCCATTTTTCCTCTGGCCACGGTATGGTGATGCGCAGGCTTTGGCAGACATGAATTTTCTGCTGTACTGCTGTACTGGATTCCACGTTCCAATGCCAATAAGCAGCTTTGGGATTTTGAGGTAACCATGACATTGGTAATGACTGCCTGCATACTCTAGAAGTAGCGACAACCAATAAATTTACCATAGTAGATAAATAAAGGGTGTTAGAGAGGTCTAGAGAACCACATACTGGATAATCATACAATCTCACAATGTCAGAGCTCAGCTCATCTAGACTAACTCTCATTATTTTATATATGAAAACAGTCCATAATGATTAAAAACCCATGTTTCTTGATATCATTTTAATCTACTTTTGAACATATTATATACTGCTTCCAGTTAGTATACAAATAATCAAATAGTTAAGATGTTTCCATTAGCATGTAAACCTGGTGAAATATTTCCTATCCAAAAATAAAACCTCTTTCTTGATTCTTACAGCTATTCCATTTCTCTATTCCCATTTATGGGGATTACCCTGAAATAATTTTCTTCACTTTCTCCTCCATAATTATCTCCCTGAATCCATTTCAACTGGCTTTTATTATGGCCACTCCAATGAAACAACTGTCATCAAAATCTCTAACAAGTTCTAATTGTCAATCCCAAAGGTATTCGTCATTCCTTATTTTAATCAGTATCTCGTAGCTCCATACCAGTTAATCACATTCCTCTTCTTAAAAAACTTTCTTTAGGCCAGGCAACCACTGTTCAAGTCTGTCATCCCAGCACTTTGGAAGGCCAAAGTGGGAAGATGGCTTGAGGTCAAGAGTTTGTGAACAGCCTGGGCAATATAGCAAGACTTCAAGACCCCATATATACAAAAAATAAAAAAAATTATTGGGGCAAGGTGGCACATGACTGTAATACTAGCCACTCAGGAGGTGAGGAAAGAGGATTGCTTGAGTCCAGGACTTCAAGATTACAGTGATCTGGGTGACAGAGCAAGATCCCATCTCAAAAACAAACAAACAAACAAAAAAAAACCCCAAGAACAACAAAACTTTCTTTGCTTGGGTTTTGGGACACCACTATCCTATTATCTTTTCTTATCTTACTAGTCACCCATCCCTCTTCTTTTTCAAGTGCCGATTCCTCTCTTTTAGCCTCTAATGTTGGAATTGGCCCAGGGCTCAGTTCCTCACCCCCTTCTTTCCTCTTTAGTTTCTCCCTAGTTAATATCACCCCAAATTAACATCAATTCCCAACCTCTCTCCTAAATTCCAGACCTAGAGATTTGACTGTCCACTTGACTTCTCCACTTGAATGTCTAACAGCCACATCAAACTTAACATATCTAAAACTCTTGACTCCTGCCTCCACTGCTCCTTCCCCAGTCTTAGCCACAGTAAATGGCATTGCCATTCATCTAGTACCTAAGGCAAAGGAATTATTATTGATTCCTTTTTATTTTACATCAACAATTTCTTGCAGCTCTACTTTCAAAATATATTTGGCATCCAAATACATTCCTTCACCTTCACAGCCACCACACTAGAATGGGCCACAAACCATCTCTTACCTAAACTACTGAAATGGCTTCTTAACTGGTATCCCTCCTTCCAGTCGTGCTCCCTGCCACGGTCTACTTTGTGTAGCAGCTAGTGATTTTTAAAAATATAAATTATATCAAGTCACTCCCCTGCTCAAACCTTTCAACGGTGTTCCATCCTAACTAGGAATAAACCCAAAGTTTTCGCCACAGCCAATGAAGTCCACTATGATCTCACCTCCACTGCCTCTCTGGTCCCATCTACTACTCTCCCCTCAGACCCTGCATTCCAGCCATGCTAACCTTCTTGATGTTTCTCAAATATGCAAACTGTCCCCTCCTGAGGGTCTTTATATTTGCTGTTCCCTTTGTCTTGAAGCTCTTTCTCCAGATTTTCCCCTAAATCTTTACATTGTTACTTCTGTCATTTTCTGCCTACAGCAAAAGCAATGTTTTTACCAAACCTGTTTCTTCATCTTGAGCACACAGGAAGACTACATGTTCCCAGTCTCCCTTGCAGTAGTTAGGCAAAGTGACAGTTATAGCCAACTAAACACTGGCTAAAACCTGGGCCTGATCCCTAAATATCTTGCATAATAATCCACAAAACACTTTCTTCCCTAACACCCAAGCTAGAAACAAAGGAGTTCAAGTTATTGGGGCTACACAATAGAAAGAGCCTAGAACACTTACTAACTGCTTGGAAGAAAGCCATCCTAGAGAACTATGTGAAATTTTGTGTGAATGAAAAAACAAACTTTTATTCTATTAAGCTACTGAGATTTTGAGGCTGTTATAACAGCTAGCATTAATTACTCCGACAATATCTTCTTAAAGTAGAACTTCTTCAGAGAAGCCTTCTCTGACTACTCATTCTAAAATAGTAATTGATTTCTCAATTCAAATTCTAACCTCCTAACCTGTCTTATTTTTCTTTAGAGAACCTACTTCTAATTTTAAGTGTATTTGAGTATTTATTTACTTGGTTATTTAGCTCTCCCACTAGAATGCAAGCTCCATGAAGGTAGGGACGTCATGATACTCACTACTGTTATTCCCAGGATCTAGAACAGTCCTGGCTCATTATTAATATCATAGGTAATGTTTGTTAGGAGGAAATTGCAGTTTGCCAGTTGCCAGTTTAAGCACTTCAGAAATAGTAATAAATATTTAATGAATGATGGAGAATGACTATAAATGGTGCTTTGTAGCAAACAACATTGAGTTGGAAGTCCTACTGAACAGTTCTAGTTAAGAGCTGTCATTCTTGTGGGGGGAGGGGGGAAAGGGCATTTATTGAAACCTTAAAATCTGTACCCCCATAATATGCCGAAATAAAAAAAAAAATAAGAGCTGTCATTAACCCATAGTGGTACATGTCTAAGTTCAAAAATGCCCTGCATGGATGTGTCTTAACTTCTAAATTGCCTCATGTTTCAACGCTCGCTTTTTGAAAAGCTCTAAGATGAAAGGAGATAAACAGCATTATTTATTATATACCATTGTGCCAAAAACATTTGTTACAGATATCTGTGCACAGGAACTCCTGGCTTGAAAGCAAAATTGAAGGTGAGAACAGGAAATAGCACCATGCCTGAGCAGCCAGTACTAATGCTATAAAACCTAAACTAGTGCTATATAACCTGGGAGGGGGGCTTCAGTGGCAATGACAGCTATAGCAGAAGCAGCAGGAGGCAGTGAGAAGAGGCTGAAGTTCAAGCTTCCCAAATTTTCCAGGAAAGAGAGCAACCCAGGGGGAATTCTTCCAACAAATATGCCAACTATTGTTCAAAGACAAGCAGAAACAAACCTGAAGAATACGGGTTTTCTGTTGATTATTTGTCATTCTTCTTGACTTGGTCCTTTCTACTTCATGTCTATGAACCCACCCTCGAAGTTCATGATTTAACCTATAAAATATAACTTAATTAATTAAACATATTTCATAGAAACAAATGTCTCACCCCTTGGTTGGAAATGATTTTAATCACTCTGTATGTTCCAAAGAGTGCTCCAAGTGCCTGATGACTCAATATTGCCTTTTTATTTGAAAAGGCTGAGATACTTAATGTTAAGCTGTTTTTAATGACATGCATTTTTATATGGCAACCTCCTCAATCATGAGTTCAAAATTCAAAGAAAATCATAGCTAAATACCTGCCAAATATAAATAATTGGATGCAAAGGTTTTTCCACAAAAAACATATCTTCTGTTTCTGTTCTTGGGCTATGTACATAGAAACATCTAAGACACTGGAAAGAACTTAATGAGTCATAAGACCCCTAACAACAAATAGGTGCATTAAATAAAGGCCTTGAAAATCATGCTTTTTGGGAAGAAGGAAAAAAATGAACTCAATTGCCTGGGGAAAAAAAATAATTCAAATTTTTCAACACTGGAAATAAAAACCTAGTTCATAATATAACTTCCTTTATTTTGTTTACCTTTAATAACAATTATAAAGATGTTAGACTATCTTATTTGACTGTAGATGATTACTACTTATAACAAAAAGCCTGCGGCAGTTGTTAAGGTTTAAGGATAAGGTCTAAAATCACAAGAAAAAATGCAAGAGAAAAGTTGATAAAGAAGGGTGCACTAATGGAAAAATATCTCCAGAATCATGTATCCTCAAATTATTTTCTTTCTAATTTGAAGAAAAAGGCCCCTTCTGATATGAACATTATCATCTGCAAGCCTAACACCCTAAATTTTAATATTAATTTCATTTTGTGGTTTTCAAACAAGACATATTTTAAGTATGCAAGCACCACATAAAACTGACACATCACCATCTCCACCAGGTTGGTGGAGATATTGGATGACAACTGATATGTCTGTCCAACAAATAATTCAGAGATTCTCTCAGCCACTTAGTTACTCTGAACAATTACTGTTCCCAAGCCAAACATGGGAATCAACCGCGATATTGCCGCAATAATCTACAACACTCACCTGAGAGACTCTGTTGTGTTAATCAGGGGTTGACAAGGAGGTGGAGGAATATAAAGCAGTGGTTCTTCAGTTAGCACCATCAGGGCTTTGTCATTTGAAACAGAATGATCGTATCTGAAACATACATGCACAAAATTTGGCATCTTAAATTCCCAAGAAGTTTGCTATAAGAAAATCATAACTAGTGTTAGCTTTTCATGGAAATAAAAATATGGTAAATAGAATATACTGCAAGATAGAATAGAAAATGAGAAAACTATAGAGTATGTAGCACAAATGTCATTTTCTGATTTTCTACAGAGATAGCACGGTGGTTCACATTTACCTAGTAACCCTTTACTGAACAATTTATGTGCACCATAACTAAAGGATATAACAACACATGGTTCATGTTTTCAATGAGTTCAAGGTATACACAGTGCTGCTGGAACAGAGGAGGTGACAGTGATGCGGTAACTTGGGGAAAGACCAACTGGTTGATAAGGAAGACAGTATGATGTGGACCAGGACTAAAAATTTGTGGTCATTCACAATTCTGTGATGACAAAACTAAATAGTCTCCCTAAAACAGGTATGTATGTGGTAGAGGTAGGGTAAGATATAAAATACTTGGCAGGAGAAAAGTGAAAAAGAGTTGAAAAGCTGAATTTAAATTTTGAAATCTTAGAGGAATCTAAATCACTAATAAAACACCAGGGTGACAGTAACCAGTTACTCCATTAGCTTAAAATATATATACTTTTCTAGCCACCACACTAATCTATATCATGTGAATTCATATCCAGGGTGTGATGTAGGAACCAAAACCTGAGCTAAAAATTAGAATTTGAGCTTGGGATATTATTGCTATTTATGCTCTTCAGTCTGATATTTTAACCTTTCTAAGAAATCTTGTCTCTGCCCTGAATTTCTTTATGTAGGATGCTCTGGTTTTAGGAAACTAGATATGTTAAAAACCCAAAAAGAAAATACATAAATACAAAGTTGAACATGGTAAGATGTATCCTTTCATTTATTCATCCAACAAATATTTGCTGAATACCAACTATGTGCCAGGTACTACGGTAGGTGCTGGGAATCCAACAGGGAACTAGAGAAACAAAGTCTCTACCCTCAAAGACCTTAACGGGGCAACAAATACAAGAAAACAAACACATAAAATAAATCCAAATTCTGGTAAGTACACAGAAAGAAACAAATACTTGAAATAGAAAAGCAATGGCAGTATTTACACTTTAGATAAAATGGTCCGAGAAGGAAATGGTATTTAAATCAAGGCCTAAAGATGAGAAGAAGCCAGTCCTATAGAAACTGGGGTAAGAGCAATCTAAGTAGAGGCAGGTGAGAAAAATGTAGGCTCAAGAAATTTTAAAAAGGCCGGGTGCAGTGGCTCACACCTGTAATTCTAGCACTCTGGGAGGCTGAGGCAGGCAGATCGCTCAAAGTCAGGAGTTCGAAACCGGCATGAACAAGAGCAAGACCCTGTCTCTACTAAAAATAGAAACAAATTAATTGGCCAACTAAAAATATACAGAAAAAATTAGCCAGGCATGGTGACGCATGCCAGTAGTCCCAGCTACTTGGGAGGCTGAGGCAGTAGGATTGCTTGAGCTCAGGAGTTTGAGGTTGCTGTGAGCTATGCTGACACCATGGCACTGTAGCCTGGGCAACAGAGTGAGACTCTGTCTCAAAAAAACAAAGAAAAAAAGAAAGAAATTTTAAAAAGACCATTAACTGAAGAGTTGTGTACAAGTTGGGTAGGGGCAGGGGAGGTCACAAGATGAGGCTGGAAAGACAGAAACCAGATCATAATAAGGAATTACTAAATGGAATTAGAAATCACAAAGGTATTTTAAGTAAATAAGTGATATATTTCAATTTATACTTGTGTCTTGCAAAGGTACCAAAAGTAGATTCAATGGAGGCAAGAGGGGAAACTGAGAGACCAGTTATGAAAGAGCTATGGCAATCCAGGCAAGAACCAATGATAGCATAGATTATCATCTGGCAGTGGAGATGGAAAAGAGGGGAACAATTCAAGGTAATTTTTGGAAAGAATATCTTTGGAAAGAACACTTGTTAAAAAGAGAAGTCAGGGTCTCTGGCTTAAGCAACAGAAACAAAAAAGACCTGTAGAAAACTGGTTGGAAGCAAAACAGAAAAGAGGAACAAAATTTCACTATGCACATGTTAAGTTTGAAATGTTAAAATAGAGATGCCAAGGAAACTACTGGATATGTGAGACTGGAGACTCAGAAGGGAAGTTGAACAGAAAACATACAATTGAGAGTCAGTAGGATGTATACAGACTGTATACTAAATTATGGATGAGTCACCGAGGCAGAAGGAAAACAAAAAAGTTCACAGTTCTAAAGCTTGAGATTTGGATAGCAGAGGAGCCCACAAAGAAGAGTGCAAAGTAGCAGCCAGTAAAAAAGAGGGAAACTAAAAAATGTAGCAACACAAAAGGAAAGTCTTTCAAGTGGCAAATAATCCACTTGGCCAACAGCTGAGGAAAGGCCAAATAAGATGACAGAAGTTTCCATTGAATTTGGCAACACTGAAATCACTGGCATCCCTGACAAAAACAATTTTGGCAAAGTGGAAAACTAACATCAAGATAAAAGCTAGAGATGTGTATTTACACCATATACAAGGGAAAAGAAACAACGGCTGAAGATATATGAAGCATTTTTTCCTGCAACTTGCAACAGGAACATTCTCCATGTCCTCTCTTTTGGCTGTTGGGGTTAGGTAGGGTTAAATTGTTTGTAATACACTCTGGGAGGCCGAGGCAGGCGGATTGCTCGAGGTCAGGAGTTTGAAACCAGCCTGAGCAAGAGCGAGACCCCGTCTCTACTAATAAATAGAAATAAATTAACTGGCCAACTAAAAATATATAGAAAAAAATTAGCCGGGCATGGTGGCACATGCCTGTAATCCCAGCTACTGGGGAGGCTAAGGCAGTAGGATTGCTTGAGCCCAGGAGTTTGAGGTTGCTGGAGCTAGGCTGATGCCATGACACTCACTCTAGCTTGGGCAACAAAGCGAGACTCTGTCTCAAAAAAAAAATAAATACTTGGAGACTTTCTGTTTTTAAAAAAAAAATAAAATAAAAAAAAATAAAAATAAAAAAATAAAATAAAATAAATAAATTGTGTGTAATAAAACAGAGACATTGGTATGCAGGTTATAAATGCACACACAAAAATTAAGTGTTGAGGGAGAAGAAAGAAAAAGTCTATCCTGTGTTTTGTAAATGTATACTCTTCTGAATGTCTATAAGAAGAGGCTGCTTGACACACTAAAAACATCAAGAACAAAGACCTATCACATGTGTTATTTTAAAAATCATACAAAAGTACAAACATTGTAGTCCATCAGAAAAGTCCAAAACTTCTTTTGAAAATATATTTCTGATCTAAACTCTAGTAATGATTTCTGCACATCTGTGCTGACTGGCTTTGTTCTATCAGCCAAAAATATTCTTTGGAAAAGAAAAAAAAAATCTGATAGAAGAAATACCAGGCCAGGGATTGGGTGGAGTCAAAGGAGAAAGGAAAGGGAGACTCTAGCCAACATGCAATCTGGAGACAATTAGACCCACATTAACCCAGAGACAGAGTTCTAGGCTGCTTACACACCATTTTATATCAAGAGAAGAAATTTCAGCAAATAAATCACTAAAGTAAAGGACAGTGCTAAGGGGTTAGAATTTATGACAATTACTGGAATAAAGACAGGTTCTGGCTGATGCCTCATATATAGGGTGACTATCCTTTCCTGTTTATACAAGACAGTTCTGATTGATGTCCTGATGTCATTATTACTAGCACTGCCTTTTCCTTCTTAGAAGTGTCCCAGTTTCATTGACAAATTATGTGATTATATCATTTATATACCACATATTCCTAAGACTGAAAAAATATATGCAGTTAATTAAATGATATGTAAATACAATATTATAAACTATGGGATTAAAATCTACTTTTTTATTTGAACCAAGTCTCCTAACTCTCCTTATAAAATGAAGTATAAAATAAGCTACATTATGTGTAGCTTATTTTATATATTATATATAATAATATATATGTGTCATGGCTGCGTTTATATAAATAAATCATCTAAAATTCAGTTAAGAACAAATCCATATTTGGTGCTTTCAAATGTTTCACAAATATTTTTGGTACCTTTTATTCAGTATTTATACTGATAAAAGAACATCAAATTAATGGACTGACATTTATTTAAATCTCCCAAGTGGCTCAATAACAATCTTAGATATTTCAAGAGACTTGCATGTAGCCAAGAATACATAATCTTTTGTTTTTATTTTTATCAAGACTAATTACCCTGGCCAGGTGCGGTGGCTCACATCTGTAATCCTAACATTCTGGGAGACCAAGGCAGGAAGATTGTTTGAGCTCAGGAGTTCGAGACCACCCTAAGCAAGAGCGAAACCTCATCTCTACTAAAAACAGAAAATTAGCTGGACAACTAAAAATACATAGAAAAAATGAGCCGGGCATGGTGGCGCATGCCTATAGTCCCAGCTACTTGGGAGGCTAAGGCAGAAGGATTGCTTAAGCCCAGGAGTTTGAGGTTGCTATGAGCTATCCTGACGCCATGGCACTCTAGCCTGGGTGAGACTGTCTCAAAAAATAAACAAACAAACAAAAAACCCCAAACAAACAAAACAAACCAATTACCCAGATTATGCACAGTCAATGGTGACTTTAGGGTAGGGAACAGAGAGATAGCTTGCATTCATGTACTACGTTGAAAGCTGATAAATTTCAGCTTGGAAGTCATTCAGACTTTTAGGATGAACTAGTGTGATCAGACTACTATGCCTTCCGGGATCCACAATGTCATCTTACATCAATTGTGGACAAATAAGTAAAGGCTTCTATTTATTATAGTTAGTGCAAATTAGATAATATTCTTGTAAAGGTTACCTGAACTATAAGTTCAAGTATCCAATCAATAACTTGTTCTATTTTTTAGCAACAAGCTATCTCAACTCTCATAAATCCAAGGACTATTAAATTTAAAAATGTAATTTTTGATGTATCTCATGTGGACAACAACAGAACTCAAAATTATAGAACATGTAAGGCAAACCTGGACAAATTATTTAGTAAAATTAGAGATACTATTAAACTCTATCAATATTTAGGGATATTGCAAATGATCAGAAAGATGAATATTTCAGAAGTATGGCTAATTTTGGCATGTAAAAAAGAAGGAAATATTATATATTATTTTCAACATTATCATGTCTATCATTGTGATATTATATTACAGCTACTGCCATATAATCCTTTAGATCTTCCTCTGTGCCTAGCATAGCACTCTGCTAGATGCAAATTCCTAAAAAAACAAAACAAAACAAAACAAAAAAACAAATACTAACATTTTTTTTCAGGAAGGCTTAATGGAGATAAGCCTGTAGGACTATGGTAATAATCTCATTCAATTATATGGATGTAACAGAGTAAAAATCAGGAAGAATGATTCCCACATGGTTCTCAGCTTATAAAATCTTAGAGAATTAATAGTAAATAAATCTTTAATGATATTCAAGCATTATACTGTGCAATGGTAACCATACTGTGACCTCCCTTTGCCGTATTATTCAAGGTCGTGGCTCTATTTGGCCCAAATAACAGACAGAAATGTTTATCAAAAAGTATACACCTATGAAAATGTCCACTATACCTTCTTCTAGTTAACAAAATATAGAAATTGTATTTTCATACAATTATAAACCTTTTGCTATTGACAAGCAATATGGAAATTTACCAACTCAGTATTAAATTGTAACAAGCAAGGGATTCAATAAAGATCACAATAAATAAGTATAAATGATTTTACCCAATGACTGCAAATAGGTTCAACCAGATCATTCCATCATATCATATCCACCCACAGATGATACAGTAACAAATATCAGATGTATGTGTAAGCACATATTATAATCACATGATAGATAAACTAACTGTACTGAAAACACTATATACAATATAATATGTATATATGTGTATCAATATGTATGTGCTGAAGACATTATATACAATATCATGTGTACATACTCTATGTGTTTCAACATAATGTATATATAGTGTATGTGTTACAATATATATAAAATCTTAACTGAGATTTTGTCAAATCTCTATAAGAATTCCAAAACTAGGAAAGCTTTCAAAGTAAATTTATTCTTAGAATTAATCTTAAAAGTAAAATTTATTAATGACCTCAATAATTTATTTTCTCCACTAGTCAAAACTGCGTATGAACAATTTAGATGTAAAGTTATACTAGATAATTCTCTGTCTCAGTGTCAATAAATCTCTCAGACTAATAAGTACATGCCATCTAACCTGTAGCTGTTTTTCTGGATGATACCATCTGATGTGGCTTGCACCTCTTTCGCAGAAAATTCTAGAAGGTGCCTCCTTTGATTTGCAGGGCTCACACTAGGATTCATTCTCCTGGCATCCTGTTCCAGTATGCTGAAAATAAAAAATGTGAAGCAATAGTTGAAATAAAAATATGTCACACATATGCCTGCTACATGTGATTCTGAAATAAACCAGAATTCTTTTGTAGATCCATGCATATAGCAAAAATGCTTATCATACAAGCAAGTCAAAACACAGTACTATATTCAAATCCCTAGACTGGCATCCTATCCATATCAAAAACAATCTTCAAAATAATTTTTATAAGTACAAAAAGCATCTTATATATAAAGTGTTTAAGCAAAAGCATTGTTCTATTAGCTTTAAAAACCCTAAAATTATGCATGTATATAAAGTAGAAATAAATATAACATACATAAAAATAAATTTTAAATTCAGATAATAACTAAAATAAGAAGTCCTCCTGGATGCTACAAACTGATGTTTTCAATGAGGGAATACATCAAATGAGACAGAAATTATTCTTTTGCAACAGCCAAATTCATTATTAGCCTTTCACAATTCCAGGAGGCAGGTAATCAGAACTAACAAAAAACTGATTTTTAAAATACTTCTGTTTTTATTTACATGTAAAAATTTCTGTTTACTTCTTTCTCCCCACCCTCTCTAATACCTTCATTCATCAATGTATATCCTCTTGATAGGCATAAGTATTTGGGGAAAACAACTATATATATGTTTATGGCAAATACTGCAATACTTGTTTTATACTTTTAAGTCATTAATCATATGCTTAGAAACCTGGCTCGTCAATAAGGTTTTGTGTGTGCCATTCACATATTAATAATTTACACTAGTCATAATCTTAAAATTAAACACAAGGAATCTCCCTAGGGAAGCACAAAAGATTCTATTTAGAAGGATGAAGTGGAAGAGGAAAATAAAGTTGAAGAAAAAGGATAGTTAAGGGCCCTGTGGTTCTAAAAGAAAAGGAGTTCTCTGGGGTATAGCAGTTTGCCTCCAAATTTGGAGAAAGCAGTGTTAGGGAAAACACAAAGCAAATATATCTCTCTAGAATCTTTTTCTGCTCTCTTATTATATTTCCCATTCTCTTCAATTCTTTATCCTAGAAATCATTACTACCCAGTGATTCTCACATGGTATGCTGTGGCACTTTGGCACACTGCAAACTCTTAACAGGTGGACCACCAAATTAAGGCCATTGTGTTAAATTTAATTTTGCTACAACTGAGACTACATTTTGTTAACAACTGTATCTTTCAGACTGTATATTTACCTGAGTGGTCACACAACAGTATAAACCTTGCTGCAAATGAAGTAAGAGGCATAGTGGAATGTGCAATTAAACTTAGGAAAACCTATCCTGATGAATATTTAAGAAAACACAAGAGAAGCAATAAACAATAACAATTTTGGAGGGAAGCCAAATGAAGAATGTGATGATAACTATGGAATTTTATTTCTTCTTTTTTTTTTGAGACAGAGTCTCACTCTGTTGCCCAGGCTAGAGTGCCGTGGCATCGCCCTAGCTCACAGCAATGTCAAACTCCTGGGCTCAAGCAACCCTATCGTCTCAGCCTCCCAAGTAGATGGGACTACAGGCATGCACCACCATGTCTGGCTAATTTATACACACACACACACACACACACACACACACATATATATTTAGTTGTCCAGCTAATTTCTTTCTATTTTTAGTAGAGACAGGGGTCTCACTCTTGCTCAGAGTGGTCTTGATCTCCAGAGCTCAAACGATCTTCCTGCCTCATCCTCCCAGAGTGCTAGGATTACAGGCATGAGCCACCACACCCAGCCTATTTCTTCTTTTTGAAACCTACTTTTTTAAAAAAAAAAGTGTTTACTTTTTAATTCTTTCAAATGTGGTGCCAAAAATTCTATGAAATTATGCCGTGTGTATGAAAGTATGCTGTCAACAAAAACAAAGTTAACAACTTTCCCCTAGGTTTACAGAATCTCAATTTATTCAACCCTTACTGACCCCTCCCTTATATAAGTGAAATATGCATACACTAACATTCCTGTTGAGTGGAAGTATACTCTGATCCCTCCAACGACAAGCAGGAACTCTACCATCCTGATTATTAAGAGTTTTCCCGTTTTAATTAGAAAGGTACTTCTTTATAAAACTTCTGCTTTTTGGTACTAGTTCTGGACTCTATGGCTATTCAGAACAAGTCTAAGCAAGCCTTCTTCCAATGTCCAAAGGCATCTAAAATCCCCCTTACCCCAGGCTTTCTTTTTCAAGATTATAGTTTCTTGGTCTTTCACACATTTCCTGGTTATAGCACAATTTCAGGTCCCTTTAGCATACTAGGTCACTATGCTACCAATATGCTTCTCAGAGGTGATGTCCAGAATTGGCCACAGTCCTGCCTAGGTAGTATGAACATTACAGGATGAAGCAGGATATTCCTTCCTTTGTTCTAGATACTGTTCTTCTACTGACGCAGTCTAATATCACATAGGCTTTTTTGACAGTTATAGCACATTTTCTTTATATTGAGCCCAGTTTAATTAAAACCCAAGTCCTTTCTCACAAACTGATTTTGAATCATTCCCTTCCCTTTCCTTCCTCTCCCACTTCCAATTCTGAATTTATGTAATTGAGCTTTTGGAACCAGCTGAATAATTTACACCAATTCCTTTTAAAATATCATTTTGTCTACTAATCAATCAGAACTTTTAGGACACTAATTAGCAAAAGAAATTCTTCCAAGCAAGGATCAGCATGCCATCAATATTCTTAGCTCAGTTATTAAAATATCAAGCTCCCTCCAAATTTCTAAAAATACAGGTTTAACCACTTATGAATTCATTGTAATACCACCTACTCCAAAACTTCCCAACTTGACCATAAAGATACCGTGAGATTTAAATGCTCCTCTGAGATGCAAATATAGTATATTACAATAGTACACATCACTTTTAAGCACTTACTACATAATAAGGAATGAAGGCTCAAAGAAAGTTGAGGCTCAAAGAGTTTAAACAATTTGCCCAAGGTCATGCTCTAAGTAACTAATGAAGTCAGGATTTGGATTCAGGATTGCAACTCCATCACTGTTCCAATGTTGATCACATTTCCCAGAATGACTGATCCATTCATTCATTTATTCATGTACTAAATACGTATCATATTCCAAGAACCATATCTGGTGCTAATGACTCAAAGATGAAAGAGATAAAAGGTCAGACTACAGCAGGTCCTCAAATAACATTGTTTTGTTCAACATCATTTCATTATAAGATTGAAAAAAAAATCAATTCCTGGCCAATTGCGTGGGTTTTCTTCAGGTATTCCAGTTTCCTCTCACATCCCAAAGATGTGCACATTTGGTGAATTGGCGTGTCTAAATAATCCCGGTTGGAGAGAGCGTAAGGGTGCATGTAAGTGCACCCTGTGATGGGGTGGTATCCTGGCCAGAACTGGTCCTCCTTGCCTTGTCCCCTGAGCTGCTAGGATAGGCTCCCACCACCCACAACCCTAAACTGGAAAAAGGGGGTTGATAATGAATAAATGAATGAATACAAATGACTGTAAAATAAAAATTTGTACAGTATTTGATAATCATACAAATGTATGACAATAAACTATGTGCCCTCAGCAAACCCAACATATTTGTGATTGGTTTTGAACTGTGTGGTGGGAGAAGGTACGCCTTATAATTTTTGCTTTGCAAACACTTAATTTAACCCACCATCACTACAACCACCATCGTGCACTAATTTACCAAAATTTGGGTAATTATTACTTCTTTTTATTAATCTTTCTTAAATGTAAGTATAGCTCACATTTATGTCAATGTTTAATATTAGAAGTGTTTGGGGTCTTTATTTAGAAGTTTAGTGATGTTTTTGTGAGCAGAAATATGCTATAGGAATGTAACTCTTGTTTATATCAATTAGCCTATGGTAAAACTGGTTTCATTATACATCATCTGACTTAAAGTAAGTTTCCAAGAACCTATGGATAATGTTAAGTGTCGACTTACTGGAGAGTGTATGGGGGGTGGGGGGTGAAGGAGAATAGTGATAGAAACAAAAGATAGCAGAGTGGCTGGTACCATAATAAGAGTTAATGCAGATTGCTATGGAATAGTACAGCTAGGCCACTTGATCTCTACAGAGAGGATCATAAGGTAATCTTAAATGATAAGCAGTAAATAAGTGAAAAGAAAACAGAAGTGAGACAATGTACTTCATGCAGATAGAATAGTATATCAAAAAGCACACAGGCATAAGAGAGCATGTTTTTTTTAAGGAACTATAAGGAGAGGGTGTGCGGACGGACATGTGCATTGGTAAGCACACAGTGAGAAGGTGAGCATCCCACAGAAAGAGAGGAAGCAGAAGAGACAATAATGCAAGGCTAGATTACAGATTGCCTTGCCTGTCATGCTATCAATAAGTCTAGCAATTTATTCAATAAAAGAAACAAAACTGGTATATTTTGTTCTTGTTTTATTTTTGGTTTCCCATTATCATATTCCTTTCTATATCAGAATCCTCCCTATGATTAATGTTAAATCTCCTAGACTAATGGGAAAACCTATGTTTTTTTCTTTTAAAAAATTGGTATTACGTTTGTCTCCTATTTACCTAGACTACTTGCTGATTATCACTGGGAGAAAAAAAATAGATTATTAGAACAGTTCTTCTGTTTTCCTATTTTCTATGGAGTCTTAGGCCTCTAGGGGAGGCACCCTCAATAACTCTCAGGCTTTAACTGCAAAATCAAAGTGGCAGCTATGGCTTCTAGCAATAGCTTACCAAACTTTGTGAGCTCCTCTACATCAGAAAGCACCTTCCTTTAGCACAGTGGCTTCCAATTAGCATTCCTGACAACTGGTTAGAAATGTAAATTCTCAGGCCCCACTCCAAAACTATGAACTAGAAACTCTGAACAATCTGTGTTTTAACAAGCTGTCTATGTGATTTGGCCAATGTTTGAGAACCATTATCCTAAATTAATCCTGTTTTTCACAACATCTTTCCTACATCAATTCTCTAAAAGGTACATGGTTTTACAATGGATCCAAAATAAG